ACACAAATGGGTGACTAGCAAGCTCACTTACTGGAAGGAGGGTCGTCACGCCAACAATGAAGCCAGCACAGCCCTTCCGAAACTTGCTTCTTTCTTGGCCCTGACGTCCAGACGGTAATGCGTCACAAAGTCAAGGGAGCTGACCAAGTGGCCACTCAACAAATGTCAGGGACTTCAACGCCATGGCAGTGAAAGTGTAGAGTGAGCTTTTAGCACATCTGGTGGAGCCGTGCCTGCCAAATCATAAGCCAAAGTAATGGCAGAGACCATCCACCTCGAGACTGTCTGTGAAGAGGCCAGAGAACCTTTCCATGGGCCATGGAAGCACACAAATAGTCTGGGAGAAGTGCGAAATCCTTAGTCCTGGAAACTGAGCATGTGAGGAGCACATGCTCAATATCATAAAAGGGAGATGGAAACAATGTCGGATGAATCAAAGGCTGATTAACATGGAAATCTGAAATCACTTTAGGGAGAAGGGTGACATCTGCGTACAAGACAACTTTGTCTGGATAAAACTGAATATAAGGAGTGTTGGCCTGAAGGGTGGCCAGTTCGCTTGCTCGACATGCAGATGTTATAGCTACAAGAAAAAGAGTTTTGAGGAAGAGAAGTTTGAGATGCGTCAAAGCGATGGGCTCAAAAGGAGGGTGAGTGAGAACATGGAGAACAACTTGGAGGGACCACTGAGGGAGTGAAGATCGCACAGGTGGGCAAATGTTCCGCAAGCCTCTAAGAAATATCTTGAGAGTTGGATGGGAAAATAGATGAGAGGCCTCAAATCCAATAGGTTGATAAGATATTATTGCAGAAATATAAACTTTCAACATGGAGTGGGTCAAACCTTGATCAAACAGGTGACAAAGAAACAAAAGGAGGGTATCCAGTGAAACATGAACCACTGATAAACCTCTTGATGCAACAAATCTAGAGAAAACATTCCACTAATAGGAATACAACAATTTAGCAGACGGTTTCCTAGCTTTGTCCAGTACCTCCGCTATGACGGGGGAATTCTCCACACCGTGAGGTATAAAGATTTCAGGTCGGGGTGACAAACACAGCCATCGTTCTGAGTCAGCAGGTGTGGCCGAAGAGGCAGTCTCAGGACTTCGGCCACCATGGCCCTGAGGAGTAAACCAGAGTTGTCGAGGCCACCATGGTGCTATTAAGATGGCACTGGCTTGCAGCTGGCGGAGCTTGACTATTGTCCGCTGGATAAGAGGAATGGGGGAGAAGGTAGAGGAGGACATTGCCCCAGTCTACCCAACCATGAACACGTCACCTAGGGAATTCACACCGCATCCCGCTCGAGAGCAGTAGTTGCTGCATTTCGAGTTGGTCTGGGTGGCAAAAACATTGAGACCTGATGTTCCCCATCAGTTGCAGAGATGGTGGAAGGAAGAGTCACTGAGAACCCACTTGTGGGTTTCGGTGGTCAGACGGCTCAAACTGCCATCAACTTCGTTGTCCTCTGTAAATATATGCATAGCCACAGGGAACATGTGGTGGTTGTAGCAACATTCCCATAGCTGGACTGCAAGGTATAGAAGAGCAGGTGAGTGAGTACCCCCCCATTTGTTTATATAATACAGAGTGGTCATATTGTCCGTGGTAACTTGGACTCCGCGACCAGCTATGAGGAGGTGGAAAGCTCAGAAAGCCTTGATGACTGCTAGCATTTCTAGGTGGTTGATATGCAGTAGCTTTTCTGAGTTGGACCATAGAGCATGAATTTCATAATGGCCACAGTGTGCGCCCCATCCTATTGGGCTGGCATCAATCGTGACCTGTATAGTTACTTGAAGAGGTCGAAAAGGACAGCCTACAAAGAGGTGCAGGATGAAGGTCCACACAGTGAGTTGGCGAGCTAACTCCAGACTGACAAGAAGATGTTTTGAAGGATGATCTAACAGGGTGGTCGAACAGGGACAGGAACCAGGCCTGCAAAGATTGCATCTTGAGCCTTGCATGTTGGAGCGTGGAAGTGGTCAAGGCAATCAAGCCTAAGAGATATTGTGCATGCCAAGCATAAACCGTGGCATGAGGTTGGAAATGGTGAATAGCTCTTGTCAATTTGGATATCCGTTTGTGAGGGAGAAAAACTCTGGCCTTGATTGAATCAATATGCAGTCTATGGTCTGAGATGGGACTTCTTGAAATTGACTTGCAAACCAAGTTCTGCCAGAGTCTGAAGAACAAAGGTAGAGTCCCTTCGGGCTGTGGAGTATAACCCTGCTACTATCAACCAGTTGTCTATATATGGAAAGACTGTGATATTGTGCAGATGAAGATAGGCAGCCACAAGAGCCATACACTTTGTGAAAGTTCTTGGAGCAGTGGACAGCCCGAAGGGGAGGGCACAGAATTGGTAAGCACTGTCCATGAAGAGGAAACGAAGGCATTTGAAGTGACGTTCGTGAATGGAGATATGGAAATACGCATCTTGTAGGTCTAAGACCACAAAGCAATCATCTGGAGAAAGCAGTGGGATAACAGATTCCAGGGTGACTGTACAAAAGAGCTTCAGATGGATGTAGGTGTTGAGAAGCCACAGGTCCAGGATGAGGCGAAGGCCTCCACCGCGTTTGGGGATGGTAAAGTACCGAGAATGGAAACCGTTTAGAACATCTTGGGAAGGTACTTGTTGGATGGCGTATTTCTGGATAAGAACAGAAATTTCATCCTCTAGGGCAGGTGAGTAAGTTGTATATCAGAGATAGCCGAGTGGAAGGAGGTCAGTGAATTCTAACAGGTAGCTGTGTTGTATGACAGAGAGTACCAAAGAGTCCTTGGTGATAATGGACCACTTGTTGAGAAAGTGAGCCAGACAGGGATGAAGGGGACAGCCAGGGAACAGACTCGGAGGGATCAAGTCAAATATATTGTTTATTCTTTCTTGCAGGTCAACGGAAAGGTTGTCTATGCCGCTGAGCTGGTGCCTGAGAGCAGAAAGGAGGAGCAGCTGAGGAAGATGGAAGATTGGACCTCTCTGGAGCCGGACTGAAAGGTTTGTAAGAATGATAAGGTTGCTGATATGATTGTTGAAAAGTGAAGGGTCTGCACCACTGAGCGCATTGGTATCTAGGCTGCTAGGTGGAGTAGGAATGGGCAGTTTTGCAAATTTTGTGTAGATTGTCCTTCACTTCATCGGTCTTCTCGTCAAAAAGACCAACTCCATCAAATGGAAGATCCTCAATGCGAGATCTAGCATCATCATTGATTCGCGCCGAGCGTAGCCAAGCATGTCTTCGGTGGGAGATAGCAGAAGCCAAAGCCTTCGAGGCAGCATCAGCCGTATGGCGAGATGCAAGACCCTGCTGCTTAGCAAGAATAGTGGCTTCTAGATGAGTATTGAGCGCATTGGTCCTGATCTCCTTGGGAGCAGACTGAAGGACAGGAAGTATTTTGTTCCACAACTGCCTGTGATAAGCGCCCATTGCCACTTGATAGTTGGACACTCTCATCACAAATGAGGCCAAAGAATATAAACGATGGCCAAGAACGTCCAACTTTCCGCCCTCTCAGTTAGTGGGGGTGATTAGAGATTGATTAGACCGGACAATAATAGAATTTGGAGCAGGATGTTTGACAAGGAAAGCTGTGTCGGCACCATGTTTGACAGTGATTCTCCATCCATCTGGAAACTTGGAGGGAGGTAGACGGCTTGTCCCATGATTCTTTAATAAGGTTCAGCATCGCTGGTATGAAAGCCAGACTCAATGGAGGGGATTTATCCTGATTTATATTGTCTAAGACGAGGTCGTGCTTAGGGGGAGGAGGTTGCTCGATATCGAGCTCTAACGATTTGGCCATTCGAAGAATGAGTTGGGAATAAGAGATAAAGTCTTCAGAGGGGGACGGAGGATGATCATCTGCAACATCCGAATCCAGTGTCGGTAAATTCGACGGAGACTATCTGGAAGCTTCAGAGGGAGGATCATGTTCAGAAGTTGTCAAAACAGAGGAATCTCCAGAGATGGGGACAGCTGATGAAGGAGAGCGTTGACGGGCCCGAGCAGTTGAAAGAGGGATAGGTATCGGGACATGATGGGCAGATTGGGATCCAGACAAAGTGGTTGTGGGGCACGATGTTGTAGCCGGGGGCACCAAAGACATATGCGAGTGCTTGGATGGAACAGGCTCGTGGTTGAGCAGAAGCTGGATCGCATCGAGGGACATTCAGCTGAGATAGACGGTGTTTAGTTTTCTTAGAGGTCAGTACCATAAGATCAGGTTGATAATAGGCTCGATGCAGACTCCGAATAGGAGGCAACGGTGATGGTGAGGACTCAGATGGGACATAAACGTAGTGAACACACTTGGGACACTCATAGTAATCCTGTTCAAATCGCGGATTGAACTCATCAAAGCAGTATCTATAGCGTTCACCGCGTCAGCTGACCTCATAAAAAGGCTCTCCATTTTAGAAAGCAAGTGGCATTGCGACAGACACGGGACAAAGATTACACCCTGATACTGAGAAGACAGGGAAACATGGTGCCACTTCACTGCCCTCTTACACGGAGCGAACTATGAGACCGATGCCTAAAATTTTGAGAGATAGATGACCGTTGTCTGCCTGGTCAAAACAGGGTTAGAATGGGCCGAGGACGGGCTGGATATGATATCAGCCTCAGAGTGGCCATAACATGGAGACTTGGATAACTCACAGGGAAATGTCCGTAAATGAAAAACTGATAAAGTCCATAATCCAGGAATCAAAAATGTAAGGTAGTCCATAAGATCAAAAAATCGCAAGATTGAGAAAATCAGAAAATCGCTCTAGTAATCACTACAGAAGTCAGATTTCAGCGGTGGTTAAAAGGAACTGAGGTATTACGGGCAGACGGAGCATGCGCACCATGGGGGGCAACGTCCTACTAATCATGTCTTTTTAAGCTTTGCACGGGCGCAGTAAAACCCATTTGTGTGCATTCACAGAGGCCATGAAGAAGAATCCATAATCCCACAGCCAGCTATGCTGTTTGTAGGATTATGGAATTTACAATCCAATGCATCTGAAGGGCACAATGTTGGGAAGAGGTTGACCATATCGTGATAGCCAACTATGTCCTGCACTGAATTGCCAAGTCAGCCTTCCCCAAACCCTTCGATAAAGCTCTCTGCCCATACCTGCAGGTGGTGCCTGACTCCAGAGCCAAGAGTTTCTTTGAAGGCATTATATGTTCTCCTCCTTGCCCAGCTGTCCACATACATGCATTCCAATCCGAACTTGATGGTCTCTTCGTGACACTCCCCATTCTGTACCAAGGGAAAAATGGATTTAGGGACTCCACACAGAACAGCAAATATCCAACCCACCTGTACTTCCGGGTCTCATCCTTCTGTTCCCTAAATAAGTGCTTGGTGGGACTGAACACTTCACGGACACTGAACGCAGTGCAGGATTAGCCACATGGGGACATTTCTGATTCCAAGCAAACCCTTGACTACTGCCTCATCTCCCCAGGTGCAAACATAGCAGAGGGCTCTAGATGCCCACTGGACTGCTTCTTGGGTATAGTATCTCTGAGAGCAGGACACACAGATACCCTAGGCAGGTGCAGCTACTGTATTTTGCTATGAAGGAAGTGGCAGGAAATGAAACCCCTGCTATAAGAATCCTCTGCTCCCTTTACAGGACCATTTTGAGTAGCCACAGCATGAAGCCGAGCCAAAACGTAGAATCTACCCAAAGCACCAGAGCATGGACTCAGAACATGCAGAACCATATGAAAAAGGGGTGATGGGGGCAGAATTTTCCCCTGTCAAATGTCCTTGAGTCCTCCAGACATGCACTCTGAACATGTACAGTATGGACAGTTCTCCATGAGCCTGAATCGCTAGGAGTGAGTGGAGTCAAAGCAGGCCTGAGTACCTATGAGGAAACTAAGGGCTGAGCAACATTTCAGAAGGGACACCTTCTCCCAAGACTACAGTGCAGAGATGGCAAAAAGCTAAGCAAGGCACCTCAATGAAATGTAGCACATCGCGGAAGATGGAGCGCTGTTTGCGTCGGTCTGTCTTGGCTCGGTACTTGTTGCTGTCGGTGGCCAGGGCCTTCAGCTTTGTGCACAGCAGGTCAGTGTCCTCGTAAAAGAAATCCTCCTGGGGATAAAGGAAGACCATGTACCACCCTGATGCTTCAACTTGCAAACCCACTATCTCTTCAAAGGTTAGTAGGTGGGATACAAATAGCAGAGCGTACAGCTCTGAATTGTCTTTAGACACAGACACAGGGTTCAGGAAGCTGTAGTCCAAAACGATAATTCTTCCCTGCTCTGCCTTGTGCATTAATTAGACACAGACAAATCAGGCTCAGGAAGCTGTAGTCCAAAACGATAATTCTTCCCTGCTCTGCCTTGTGCATTAATTAGACACAGACAAATCAGACGCTTATATAGGACCATTATTTTGGAATTTTTTCAATTCCAAGGATTCTCCAAAACTTCCCAGGCAGCATTCTGGAAGTTCCAGCCTACAGATCCACATCTTAAACACCCCTACATTTTGCTCTCAAATAGAAGGGCCCAGCTTAAAGGCTCCATTGCTTAGCTATGGCCTAGCTTCTTATTAAAAAAAAAGGAAGAGACACTGGTGCTACCATGGAGTCTCCAGGCAAGAGCAGGACAGCTTTACTTTTTAACAGAGCTAGGCCATGTAGGCTTTGAGTTGGGGCCTTCTATAGGTGAAGGTCATAGGGCTGGAATTCCCAAAAATTTTGCCTGGGATGTTCTGAGAGTTGGAGACCTAAAAATCTGAATGGCACATCCCTACTTGCAAGGGTGGGCTGTGGCTGCATTTAGTGAAGGCTGTGTGACTGAAGGGCAGCCTCTGGTCAGCACAAGGCAAAAGGAAAATGCAGGAATTACACGGATTGTCATTAAGATAAGCAAGTGAGGAAAACAGAAGTAACACTGACTCTGAAAGAAGCTCTCATTCGATCCATAGACATCCCAGCCTATTGGAACAAATGACAAAAAAAAATCCTGCTGATTTAGACTAAACATCCACCTAAGCATGCATCCTATGTCCCATAATGACTAGACAGATGCTCTTGGGAAGCCCAGAAGAAGCAGAACATAAAGATGAATGCCCCTGCCCATCACTGCTCCCCAACAGCTGGTATTCAGGGGCAAATTCTCTCCAAACAGGGAGGTTTATACATCCTGCATGACTAGAAGGGCAGTGTACAGGCCCATGCAAGAATCAGAAGGGTCGGAGTCATACCTCTATATCTCGAGCCAGTTCAAACAGAAGTGCAATCGTTTCACCAGCTATAATCCGGAGGTTGACATTGTCACTCAGCAGCATCAGCGGCAACTTAGGCAAGTGACTGCGAAGAAGAAAGAGACTAATGAGGAGGCAATGGAAAAGGACATTGTCGTGTCCGCTGAGCGCATTCCTGGAGGAAATTTCTCTCCCATGCACCTTGATTTCCCAGTCAGTACTCAGTCTTGACCCTCCCCATTGTAGCAGCCCTGGCTAACTAGGGCAATTGTGGATGCGCCGTATTAAAAGCACTCAATCCGACTTCCCTACACAACCCACTGTATCAAGAAGTGAGCAAAGCCGAAGGAAGATCTCTCCTCCTGCTCTTTCTCCACCCCCAGCCAGACAAGACCCTGCCTGGCAAGACTGGTCACTCACTAGTCCAGGATCTTCTTGATCTGGGTGGCTGGGCAGATGGTGAGGAGCAGGGACCACGACTGGAGTGAGTTGCAATGCAGGACCTGGAGCAAAGGACTGTGGTGGGAGGACGGCAAATTGGCATCTTCACTGCAGAGAGAGCCAAAGATACTCTCCAAGCAAACAAGGCAGGAAATCAAGTCCTGGGGGAAAAGGAAAAAAAAAAAAGGAACACTGGCCCGTCAGTTCTCAAAGCAACAATAGGAGGATCCAAAATGGAGGTCGTAAGCCAGAAGAGTTCCTAGTTACTTAGCTCAGCAGGGTAGTGTGTAATTTGTACCAATTCTGTCGTCCATTGACACAACGAGTTACCACTTTCTAAGCCATACTTTGGCTGCATTCCACAGTTCACTCTCACAAGCCTTAAGTACACATGAGCTCCTGTTAGCCACATCTGCTACAGGGCCATTTTTAACATCAGCTCTCAGCCAGAAGCACACTATGATCTAAATGACATGAGCTATGTAATCAGGGGTGCTTAGCAGAGAACCTTAGTATATGCCCCTAAATCTTCCTCAATGGCCACTCCTGAGAAGGGAGTGAGGGGTGATGAGCCAGTGCCTCAACTCCCAATTCTCAAAGCAGGGGCACACAGAGTCCAGGAGCCAATTCTCCTTCAGCAAGGCACACTGAGGACTACGGAAAAGTCCTAAGCCTGGGGGGAAAATGAAGGAGGGAGTGACTGGAAGGACCATCAATCATTCCTTTTCATGGTTAAAAAGGAAATTCCTTTTCAGCAGTGGATTAAGGGTAACCCCCTCCCTGCTAAACGCCCTTGGGTTTGCAGGTGGCTTATTTTGTTGTCTTATTCATAGGCTGCTTTTCAACTGATAAGCACATCTGTTGAGACCTTGACTCCTCATTTATCCCAGTAGATCACGGAGCCTACAAATCACCCTGTTAGGAATTTCTATCACCATTTTCTCTACAACAACTCCTTTTGCCTTTCTGGTGGTAAATGATAGATCCCAAAGAATCACAGGGAGCCAGCCACTCTGGGACAAGGGTCTTCAAGGGTTAAGCTCTTAAGACGGGATGCTTGTCAGTGCAGGATGTCACCTCTAGGTAGGTACCTGGCAACCTTGATGTCCTGTGACATCAAGGGCTCACCGTTTCTATTCTCTTTTATTTATATGTATATTTGTGGATCCTGGACTGTTGCATCCATTGCAACCTCCACCTCACCCCAATTTTCTTGCAATTTTTTGGGGGGGATTTTGTGTATGTGCGTGTTCTGTGCTGTCAAGTCTGAACTGACTTATAGGGACCCTAATAGGCGGTCTATTGGCCATGACCTGTGAAGTCAAAATATTAGCTTCATTTACCTCCATATCTGCAGCGGCAATATAGCAGCACATCCCAAGAGCAGTGGCACACTAAATAAGTGGAAATAAAGGGAAAGAACTAGTTAATGGCAGAACCACTGTAAACAATCCTTCGGAACATTCATAAACATCTCTTAACAGCTCCCTCCCACAAGTGCTCTTGTAAGTGTCAAGATAAATTTCAAGGCCAGGAAAAACAAAAAAGAGAGAGGGAGGAAAAAAAAGATACTACTCACACTTTGCCGAGCAACTGGACTAGCTGAGGAGTCTGTCAGGATGGTGATAAGGAGGGGCTTCAGGCTGCGGAATACCTCCTCCCCCTCCGGCCCTGAACCCATCTGAAGGCACAGTAGTGTCAGAACAGTAGCAGCAAGGGACTGCTCCTCCCCTTTACCTGAAGCAGGGAGAGACACAGCGGCCTTTGAGTCTGCTGCAACATGCGCCAATGACACTGGACGCATTTCAGCAGGACTCGATGCAGATAAATCATGCAATCCGATGTTAGGGGCACACACAAGCCCAAGAAGTGGTAGCCTTTCAACCCAGTAGGGCAGAACTATTGCAACTGTCTAAGGGGCTTTTAAAACAAGAGACTGCCAACAGTCACACAGACTGCTCAACATGTAAGGGACTAATGAGAACCCAGAAAAAAAGAGAAAAAAACGGAAAAGCATTTCTCTTTCTTGCTACCTAAAGCTGAAGAAACCCAATTACTCCATTTAAGAGTCCCCACAGTTTCACATGATTTACTCGTACTTATCAGCATGCCCAGCTGCTGTGACAACTGTTCCCTTGGTTCAAGCAGGAAACCCTCCATTCCCAGGACACGGATAGGAAAAAGGCTACTGTGCATGCCTTTAAGAGGCACATGCGAGTTAGACAGTCACGGCTCAACAATCACCGATTGAAGGGTAAGCCACTATTGCCTTCTGCAATCACTACAATTATGGCGATAACCACACTGGCTTATCCTACAAGGTTGTTGCAACAATTGCTGAGAATTTATATGTCACTTTACAAAAATGTTCAAGGTTTATTTTTAAAAAAAATCAAAAACATGCAATGTTGCAAGGAACTAAGATACTACTCAGAAAGAATTATACTTAGCACCAATAAATCTACTAGCACAACCCATCAAACCAACTTTAAGTCCTGTAGAGTTCAGTGAGGAAAATATAAGCAGTCATATTAAGTATATGCAAGCGTATCGGACAAAAAAGCAAGCAAGCAAGCAAGCAAGCAAGCAAGCAAGCAAGCAAGCAAGCAAGCAAGCAAGCAAGCAAGCAAGCAAGCAAGCAAGCAAGCAAGCAAGCAAACAAATGAGAGGCAAAATGTTGTGGCACCTAACAAGACTAATGGCTGTATTATATTATAGCAGTTAGTCTTCAAGGTTCCACAATGTAGTTCTCTCATTAAAAGCAATGGAGATTTAAATAACTCCAATTAGGCTGGATTTACTCCCAAGTATCACAAAAACAGGACAGCCCCAAAGGCTGGGAAGACCTACCTTTCTTCAGGCACTTCTCCAAAGAGTCTGTGAGGGTGAGCCTGCGTTCCACCAGGAAGTCAAAGAGGGTCTTAGAGGAGAATGCTAACCGCAGGCTCTCTAAAGCGACCTGTCGTGTCTTGGCACTGGAGAAGTATTGAGAGAGAGAGAGAGAGAGAGAAATAGAGACACAGAGAGAAAAATGGGGAGAAAGACAATGGGCCAAAACAAGGGCCAATCTAGCTACCCTGTCTGGAAAGTCTCCTCCCCCATCCAAGTTTTGCATCAGACTCAACTAAAATGAACAGCATAAATTTATGTTTCCCTTTCTCTTCCAACATTGGGATAGAAACAGCCAAGAGATCACGAAGGCCACACATCAATGGGCAACAAAGCAATAAAAAAGGATGTTATGGGGTAGTCAAAAGAACAGCACAGAATACAGAAGGCTATCCTACCAAAAGGCTCCACATTAGTCATAGGTTCCCAACAAAAATGAGGCCTAAATCTATCATTTTTTTAAAAAAATGCAAAGCAAAAGTCAAGTTTTATATCTTGTGTTGGATTCTGAACTCTGTACTGCTCTGTTAACACAGTTAACAAATACACTGCTGCTAAAGTCCAGCAATAAGTTGCAATTAGAGGCCTACTGCATCAACTGAAATTACCAAGAGGTTGATTCACCAAATCCCCACTGATTGAATGGGTCTACTTTAGTTGTGACTTACAAGTAGATTTCCACCTATGTGGAAACTCTGTTCATATACATAATCTTTAAATTTTATGTTAAAGTATGTATCTGTTTCACAGGCATATCAGACTGACTGCAGCTTTCAGTGGCTTGTACTTTGCAGCAGCACTTTCTTAATAAGCTAATTCACCACAAGTCTACACAATACATCAGTGTGAGCCTGATGTCAATTTCTGTAAAACAGGGCAGAGGCTACTTTTTGACACAAGCAATTTATTTACATAATCCCTTGATTTCCATACATAACAGAGCACAAAGAACAAAATACAACACAGATCCATACAACTGATAAGCTCCAGGGATCAGCAGGCAAAATTGGGGACTTCACAAGGAAATATGCCGTTCTCCAATCAGAGTGTGTATGTGTGTGTGTGTTTCAACTCTAAAGCTCAGAACTACAGGTTATGCTAGCAGTACTGTAACTGGAGCACCATAAATTGATAGTGTCAATCTCTTAAGGCCCTGGTTTCAGTAGGATCAGGGGTACTAAAGCTTGGTTCAGATATTTTTCTTCGGTGTTATTTATTTTTAATTTTTTATTGATAATCCTTAAGGATAACAAGACAAAACAATGTATTTTATATAAAAAATCTACAGCCTAATTCCTGTACGATTACAGTGATGCCTCAGTTTGCAAACGCCTCAGTTTACATAGTTTTCGGTTTATGAACCAAAATCCATAGAAAATAATGTCCTGGTTTACCTTTTTTTCTCCCCCTCCCCCCAGTACGAAAGGGTTTTCCCAGGGCGCATTGCGCCTACAGTGCAACACCTTTCCTAGCGTAACTGGCGTATTGGTTTATGAAATTTTCAAATATAAAGTAATGTTGCGTAGAATGGACTAATTTCGTAAACCGAGGTACGCCTGTATACCATCATTTACTCTTATACATGTCAATAACCTTACTTCTATCCATATTTCAGTCCCTTCCCTATGTTTATTAAACTAAGTCTGTATCCACCTTAAAAGATGGCAGACCAGTATTCTAGCTGACTTTCCAGAATATTCCCGCTATTTAATTCAGTGCCTCAAACCAACAGGGGGTGCCAAACTTTAGTAGTTATCTACTTTTACTTCACTAGCTCAGTTCAGATATCCCACTAAACTATGGTTAGTAATACCTGTGTTTAAAACCCAGAATGTGACCTGAGCCTCCACACATAGAAGGAAGCCACGGTTTTGAGCTGCAGGTTTACTTTTGATGAAAATGTTTTGATTTGACTGGCTTCTTTCATTTGCCCCGACTCAGGAGGACTTAAGTGCAGTGCCCCCCAGGCCAGATTTTTGGTCAGTGGTGAACATGAAGCTTGAATGACAGCAATTAGTCCACATGCTTTCTTTTTGGGGTCCTGGCTGAAAATGGAGATGGGGTCTCTTTCCTCATTTCCACTACGCTTTAAGGATACACCAAGTGAGAGACGAGGAGGCATAAGGCAGGGAGAGAGTCTGTGGCAAATGTTTTTTGCTGCCCACTAAGGACAGTCAAAATCTGTTCAACCCCATACGACATCCAACTGCATTTACAAGGCATGGTTTCTAATGCTGGTTTGCCAGTTAATCACAACAAAGTGTACTGCTGCACACTTTGTTGTGATTAACTAGCAAAGAACCACACATCCTTTTGCTCAGCCATTGCAATTCATCAGAGCTACTTTGTTACAACCAGTCTGGCATGACAGTATCTAGATTAAACCTCAAAACAGCATGTTTGCCTCACCTCTTATCCATGACATTGTCAATACATTCCTTCAGCTTGTCTTCCACCTCTTCTTGCTGTGCTTGCTCATCTACTGCCTCACTTCCTGTGAAAAGCATCAGAAGATGGAGGGAGGGAAAGAGCCACTGAAGTCATCTCAATCCAAAAGGGAGGGAAAGAGGCAGTGAAGTCATCTCAACCCAAAAGGGGGGGAAAGAGGTACTGAAGTCATCTCAACCCAAAAGGGGGGGAAAGAGGTACTGAAGTCATCTCAACCCAAAAGGGGGGGAAAGAGGTACTGAAGTCATCTCAACCCAAAAGGGGGGGAAAGAGGTACTGAAGTCATCTCAACCCAAAAGGGGGGGAAAGAGGTACTGAAGTCATCTCAACCCAAAAGGGGGGGAAAGAGGTACTGAAGTCATCTCAACCCAAAAGGGGGGGAAAGAGGTACTGAAGTCATCTCAACCCAAAAGGGGGGGAAAGAGGTACTGAAGTCATCTCAACCCAAAAGGGGGGGAAAGAGGTACTGAAGTCATCTCAACCCAAAAGGGGGGGAAAGAGGTACTGAAGTCATCTCAACCCAAAAGGGGGGGAAAGAGGTACTGAAGTCATCTCAACCCAAAAGGGGGGGAAAGAGGTACTGAAGTCATCTCAACCCAAAAGGGGGGGAAAGAGGTACTGAAGTCATCTCAACCCAAAAGGGGGGGAAAGAGGCACTGAAGTCATCTCAACCCAACCCAAATCCAATGGAACAGAACAAGGATTGCAAGTCAGTTTAACCCCACCCAAACCCAAGCTTTCCACAATGGAACAGAACAAGGATTGCAAGTCAGGTCTCAGAGGCACTGGCTGTGCTGGAAAAGGATTTCTGATCCTACCATTTCAACAGGGTTTGCCCAACATACATTTTTCCCAACAGGCTTTTTGGCAACACTTGATCGAGGAATTGTTCTGGCGGCTGTTGTTAGCTTACTCATACTAGTTTGGATGGAATGATGTTCTAACAAAGGAAGTTTTCATAGTAGCATAAAAACTATTTATATATTTTAAACAATGGCTTAAAACTACTTCTGATGACCAGCTTAGTGGAAAAGTGTCAAGGTTGAAATAAAAAGTGTGTAGAAATATGCCTAGTTATGGGCAGCCCCATGGTCATGAATGCCATGTGCCAGAGCACCCCATATACCATCATTTTAATTCTAAGACAGCTGTCACTACTGCAGAAAAAAGCTGTTGGCTTATTTTTAACAGCATGGCAAACTACTAGCCAATCTGCTAAAGCAAACCTATTAGTCATTCATAATGAGGAAAAAAAATTGTTGCAAATATTCACTCTCTTGTTGCCAAAATTAGGTGGGTCATGCAAGCCTAAATATACAGTGGAATTTTTTTTTTTTGCTAAAATCTTTGCAGCCCTACTTTCTTCTCCTTGCTATTTGTACGCCAAGTGCTCTCTCTTAATTGTGCACTCATAATTCTGGGGGGAAGACATTTTCCTAAAACCAAAGTAGATAATGTGGCATACATAGGTCTGTAACAAATGTTGTTACAAAAAACGAAGGCGGAGAATGCCAGGGTTTCTGCCACAACTTTTCACATGTACAGACCTGTCACTTCCTCAGCAACACTGGCATTCTCACTGGCACTGCTGTAGTGACTCAGCACTTCACTTGCTGCATCATCATCACTGGCCTGGGACTCCATCTTGGCATTTCGAGTTCCTAAAAAGGAAGGAAATGAAAAAGATCAGAGATGGCTCCATGGTCACGTATACAAAGGAGTGGTTGAATGAAGTATTGACTTTGTATAAAACCTATCTGGGTGGGGTGGGGAGGGAGACCATTTCACAAAGTTTTCGTTTGTTCAGGCGTAACTAAAAGCAATTACAGACATTCCTAAAACCTACATTTATTAGGATGTATATATAGCCACTTGACAAGCTGGTGGATTGTTCCAAATTAAACACTGAAGGTAATTTTACCACACTTGACTACAAAGCTGGGAGCTAGTAACATTCTCTTCCGTGTGCCATGCAGGCACCCTGAGCCTTCTATGGTAATTATGCCACCACAGATTTAAATCCACTGTGCGCCTGGAAAATCTTTCCTCCTGCCTGCTTATTAATTTTTACATGCACACGCTACTGTTCTTCCAGGGAAACCAAGAAATGTCTCTCCTTTTCCCCACTTTATCCTCAAACAATCCCGAAAAGGTGGCTCAGACTGAGAGAGCCTGACTGACCAAAGGGCTCATCCATCCTGAGAGGTTCATAGTTAAGCACAGACTTGGACATGGAACTCCTAAATGTTCAGCCGTCAGATAGAAGAAGAAGCGTGTGTAAGGATGAGGTCTCACATATCAGAATAAAGCTCGCTTTAAAATATGAGAGTCTTTAAGGTGCCACATTTTGTCGTCTTTATTTTATTTTTCTTTTGGTTTTGGCTGATAGATCAGCACAGACTAAGACGGTCATATCTTCTAAAACGACACCAGAATTGCAGACCTTATCTTGTATAGCCAGCCTATCAAGTGATTGTGTGTACTCCACTATCTGATAAATGAGCCCCACTGGACAATAACCTGAAGCTAAGGAAGTACAGTGGTGCCTCGCTTAACGGGCGCCCCGTTTTACGACGAAATCACATACTGACGAACTTTTTGCGATCGCTTTGCGATGTTTTAAATGGGGAAAAATCGCTTTGCAATGATCGGTACCCTGTTTCGCTTACCGATTATTGCAAAGCAATGATTTTCTAACAGCTGATTGGCGGTTCCAAAATGGCCGCCGGGTAAAAAAAATGGACACCCGCTGTGTTTTTGCACAGATTCCTCGCTTACTGGGCAGCGAAAATGGCTGCCATATGGAGGATTTTCGCTTTAAGGTGAGTTTTAAGCCCATAGGAACACATTGAATGGGTTTCAATGCATTCCTATGGGCTTTTTAAAATCGCATAGTGACGAAATCGCTTTGCAGCAATTTTTGCTGCACCGATTAACGTTGCTATGCGAGGCACCACTGTATTGCAATGTTTGGCAAATGCAATGCATTTAAGAAGCAAGCAAGCAGAGAAGGACTGCAGCCGAATGCCAAGAGGCAAATGGAAAGGTAAGAGGAAGCACCCATTTCACACTCACGTAAAGGACAGAAAAGAGCCATCCACTTTCTTCACGACCCTGGACACATACGCTACGCTAGCAACAAACAGCAACAAGTCTGCTATTGCATTTGGTTAAATTTAGCCCTGTCAGCTCAGGCACACCCTACCGATAAATATTCAAGGCCTGGGCAAGCAGATAACCCACACTTCGGGAAGGGGTCCTGAGGAGCCAAGGAACCTCTTCTGCTATTAAGCGAGTAGAGCTTTATTCAGTTCTCATAAACAGGCACTTGAATAAAATTCATTATAATTATGTTGCCGTTATTCAGGAAGAAATAAACAGGAGTAGCTTAGCTGCTCGGAAATTGGCCAGAGCAGCAGCAAATGATGGAGAAAGCATTAACAATTAGTGAATATAGTGGCAGTTCTCTTGGCCATATTGTGTCAATGATGGGCCAGAATAAAATTACAGAATGTCATCACTGTGTAACATATACTGCCCTAAGCAGCAAACATCTAAATCATTGGTTTCAAAATTCTTCAGCATCACAACCCTTCTTGATTTCCAGAAATCCTTACACCTCCTCACTTCTCCCTTACCAACTTCCCACGTTCTTCATAAAAATTAAATCTATAATTATAATCAACAATAAGTTTAAGTTTTAATTAAAAATAATGCTGTTCATTTTCTCTTGATAAATTGTGTCTTTTGGTTAGAAGAGCTCCTGCAGAAATTTGATTAAGCTGATATAAACACTTTCTTCACGACTATTTCAATCTCATGCTCCCCTAGGCATTCTGGCACACGCCAAGTCTGAGAACTGTTGATCTAGATCAAGCTTGCAAAATGCAGCCAAAAAGAGGCCCTAAACCTACTAAAAACTGCAAGCAAAATATTAAAAAGAAATGAAAAGCTTGCTTGAATAGGCACAAAATGAAGAGCCCTTGGTAAGGGCAGGGGAGGCAAAGAGATTAAAACACAACTGAAAAAGGGCAAAAAGATGCCTCTAGCTGATAGCAGGACACCTTCATGTTGCATGTTTTAATTTACAAGCAGATTACAACTAGGCGCCACAAGAGCGGCGTTTGTGCCCTTTTGCTGTGGTTGGAACAGAAACCCTCACACCAGCTCCCCACGTTAGCTTTTCCAAACTTCCGTGGAACATTCTGACATTCCCCCCCGCAACCACCACCAAGCTGCAGGCAATCAATGTAAAGATTTGTATAAAAACCATTACCTTCTGCCTGTGGTCAGAGAGGCAAACAGCTCAGCAATGACAGAATTGGTTAAAAAGTAAAATAGAAAATGGGTAAACACACATCCTTATTCATCCCAAACTCTATGGAATAGATTCAGTTTAGGTAGCCTTATAATAAGTGGCTAACATTGAGCCAACAATAAACTACAGTATATGGAGCAAACCTCGTCAACATTGGCCCTCCAGATGGAATTGGATTACAGTTCTCAACATCTCTTCGTAGTGGCTGTGAGACAAGGAACAACTTTGGAATTTTTGGGGCTCCAACTACCAGAATTCTCCAGGAATACCCAGGCAGGATTCTGGGAGTTCCAGCCTACAGACCCATACCTACAAATATCTACATTTCACTCACCTGGAACAGGGCCTGTCTCGGAGGCCCCAACATCCTCGGCCTAATTCCTGTCATTAATGTATAAAAATGAAAGCAGTTGTGATTAGACATGGGGACAAAATGCCGCTTCATCTTGGTCCGTGAGTCGTCAAACTGGATGACCCACAAACTGCTCCCCAGTGGCCCAACAAACCAATCAATTTGTCGGTTTGTCGGGTTTTTTTTTTAAAAGACAGCCCATGGGGCTATCTAGAAAAGAAAAATCTGCCCCCCCCGCAGAGGGGGGCAGAGGGAGGGGAGGGGAAAAAGGGATCAGAGCGATCCCCCAAGCCCAGTTGCCTTTGCAAAGGTAGCAGTGCTGCAGGACGGCTTGAGTCCCACTTTCCCTCCTCTTTCAATGTCCCCGCAGCACAGGAAGAGGAGGGCAAGCGGGACCCAAGCCATCCTGCAGCATGGCTCCCTTTGCAAAGGCAGCGGGGCTGGCGGATCGCTTTGATCCCTTCCCTCCTCTTCCTATGCTGCATGGGCACAGGAAGAGGAGGAAAGGGAACCAAGCCACCACCACCCCCAGTCCCGGGGCTGGGATTCCCTTCGGCCAGGCTATAGCAAGCTGCCAGAAGGGAAAATCCCTCTCTGCTTATGCCCCGGAGGAGCAGCTGATCGTCTGCTTATGGGGCATAAGCAGCTAGGGAATGAAGGGATGGATATGAAAGGGTTATATTTGTTGCTTCGTATTCGTCGAGGTCTGTGGACCCCAAGAATACAAAGCAACGAACAGCTGATGAATCAGGGATATGCAACGAATATCCCAATTCATTTTTATCTTCGTCCCCATGTCTAGTTGTGAGGCCTTCTGAGAGCTGTAATCTTGCTGCCCTTTAGGCTCTATAGAAGGCATCCCGCCTGAAGTATCACAATAGCCACACTGCAGCAGCTTCCATTCAAGTACAAGTATGAAAAGAGTCAGCATGTTGCAGGGCACAGAGTGTTGGACAAGAATTCAGGAGAGCTGAGTTCAAATCTCCGCTTGTTCATGGAAACTCACCGGGAGGTGGTAAGAGGACACCACTCCTTACATGTCTCAGAAACCCTACTGGGGGCACTAAGTCACAAACTACAGTGGGGTCTTGACTTAAGAACGGCTTGAGTTAAGAACATTTTGACTTAAGAACCACTCTCATAGGAAAATATTGACTTGACTTACATACTTAGATTTGAGTTAAGAACTGAAAAAAACCCACGTGGGAGGCAGGGAAAGTGCAAAATTTGAACTTTCAGTTAACTGTTGGCCAGTGAAAAGGGTGCCTGTCTGCTTCCTCGCTCCTCCCAGCGTTTAGAGAGGGGATTGGGAGACAGTCTTCAGACTGCCTGGTACTGTCTGGACTGCATTTTCCCTGCCTTCCCTGAACCTTTCTTGACCTAAGAAAAAAAGAAACAAAATATCCCCCTCTAGTGGTCGAAGGCGGAATAGCAGCTTCCCATTAGTTTCTATGGACGGAAAAGAGCAGATACGGATCAAATGGTTTTCAATGCATTCCTATGGGAAATGCAGATTTGACCTGAGAACTTTTTGACTTGAGAACCGCCTTCCAATACGGATTAAGTTCTCAAGTCAAGACCCCACTGTACCTGATGTTCCAAAATAACGAAACTACAGGCTACGAGAGATAATTTTTAATATTTTCAGATCACAGAGCTACAGAGTCAGCAGTCTGGCTTCCAGAGTTTGCTTAATATTTGTCACAGGATTCTGGCAAAGCTATGCCTTTCTATAGTAGCAGCCTCCATCAATTCCTCATCCTGGCCAAAGGCTCCCAAGAACTGTAGACGGGAGCAGCTTCGGCAGAGTTAGCTGGCTGAGTGAGTGAGTGAGAGAAAGAGCGTGATCGAGAGAATTCTCCTTAGTTAACCTCATGCAGAAGAGCAAGGGGTGGGAAAGAACATCCCCGGCAGGCAGCCAAGTTGTTATGCTCAGCCAGTCACTTTTCCCGTTACATTCAGAAGACAGACAGTAATAAATCAAGTGACAC